CTTTCCATTACTGAACCGGTATATGAATAGATACCAGATTTTCAGTATTCACTACATTTTTTGTAGGATATGTTACTTTTGCCATATAATCCTTTCCATTACTGAACTGGAATATGAACAGATACCAGATTTTCAGTAGATATGTTATTATTTCTGCCATATTGTTCTGCCCAGTACTGAACTGGTGAAGATGAATATATCAGATTTTCTTATATCATTAAATGCAGTCTTAATCTTGTTGACGAGTGTATTTCACATTCTCGAATTCCATCATTCTAATGAAAATAATAATAAATGGGAACATGAGTATTGTTGCTTACAATTCATGATTTATAATACTTAAATGTAACCAAAAAACTGTGTTCTGTATGGCTTTCAAGTGTAAGTTATGAGGAAATTATGGGGTGTAATATATGTATCTCTGATGGAAACAGAATTTTCTTTCAAGTTTCCCCAGCATTTTCTCCATGTTAGGTGGATCCCTTGTCACTACAGCATGGCGCGTCCTCAGGTTGCGGATGTAGGAGACGCCCTCCAGTTTTGGAGGGAAGCTGCAAATATATTGAATAAGCACTGGCGGACAGCCGACAAGGGGTGGTCCTCCAGCTGGGGGGTTGGGCGCGGAGCTAACAACTCATCGTAAAAGATAAGTATGTTACAAAATTGAACACAAAGCCTCAGACCTAGACAGACTCCTTGGATAAATGATCTAAGCTAAAGAAAATGGATATGAGATTTGGCACTTGGAATGTTTGAAGTTTGTATAGGGCAGGTTCGCTCAGGGCAGTGCAGAAGAAATCTTAAAATATAAGTTAGATTTAGCGGGAGTGCAGGAGGTCAGATGGGTTGGAGGTGGCATCGCACCACCAGGAGACTATACATTTTTCTAAGGAAAGGAGAATGAAAATCATGAATTAGGAACAGATTTTTTCGTACATAAGACAATCGTATCAGCAGATAAGAGCATAGAGTTCGTTAGTAATAGGATAGCATATATAATACTAAAAGGTCACTGGTGTGATATCATTGTCATGAATGTTCACGCCCCAACAGAAGATAAAATTAATGACACAAAGGATAGATTCTATGAAGAACTAGAACATGTATTTGATAAATTCCCGTAGTACCCTATGAAAATTTTGTTAGGAGATTGAGGGAAGACATTTTCAAACCAACAGTTGGGAATGAGAGATTACACGAAATTAGTAATGATAATGGAGTTAGAGTAGTAAACTTTGCCACATCAAAAAATCATACTGTCAAAAGTACAATGTTCCCGCATCATAACATCCATAAATTTACTTGGACATTTCCTGATGGGAAGATACACAATCAAAGAGACCATATTTTGATAGATAGGAGACAGCATTCCAGTATACTTGATGTCCGATCATTCAGGGCAGCAGATTGTGATACTGACCACTAACTGGTGGTGGCAAAACTTAGGGAAAGACTGGCAGTGAGTAAGCAAACAACACAGAATCCATCTGGAGAGGTTCAGTCTCAAGAATTTAAATGAGGTAGAGGGTAAAGTGCAGTATTGTGTTAAAATCTCAAATAGGTTTGCGACTTTGGAAAACTTGGAAACTTAGGTGGATGTTGATAAAGCTTGGGAAACTATTACAATATAAAAATGTCTGCCAAAGAGAGTCTAGGTTATTATGAACCGAAGAAGCATAAGCCATGGATCAATGAAGGATGCTCAAAATTATTAGATCAAAGAAAGCAGGCCAAATTGCAATGGTTACAGGATCCAAGCAAGTTAAATGGGGATAATCTGAACAATGTAAGATGTGAAACCAGCAGGCATTTCAAGAACAAAAGAAGGAATATCTGAAAGACAAACTTGATGAGCTTGCAATGAACAGTAAGAACAAGAACATTAGAGACCTGTACAGAGGAATAAATGACTTTAAGAAGGGTTACCAGCCTAGCAGTATTCCAACAGTATTTTGAATAGGTGGAGGAACTACTTCTCTCAGTTATTGAATGTACGTATATAGTGTTAGTGATGTTACGCAGACAGAAATCCATAGGCCTGAGCCGTTAATACCTGATCCTAGCCTTTTTGAAGTTGAAAGTGCTTTTGCAAAATTGAAAGGGTATAAATCACCAGGTAGTGATCAAATTTCGGCAGAACTTATTCAAGCAGGAGGCGAAATGTTACGTTCTAAGATCTACAATCTAATTACTTCTATTTGGCATAAGGAAAACTTGCCTGATCAGTGGAAGGAGTCTATTATTATACCAGTTCACAAGAAGGGTGATAAAAGTGACTGTAGTAATTATCGGGGGATATCACTGCTATCAACTTCATATAAAATTTTGTCCAATAGTCTTCTTCCAAGGTTAAGTCCATATATAGATGAAATTATTAGGGATCATCAGTGTGGGTTTCGATGTAACAGATCAACTACAGATCAGATCTTTTGCATTCGTCAGATATTGGAGAAAAAATGGGAGTACGATGAGACAGTACACCAGCTATTCATAGACTTCAAGAAAGCTTGTGATTCAGTTAGGAGGGAAGTATTGTACAATATTCTGATAGAGTTTGGGATACCCATGAAACTAGTTAGGTTGATTAAAATGTGTTTAAATGAAACTTATAGTAAAGTCCCCATAGGTAAATATTTGTCTGATAAATTTCCTATCCAGAATGGTCTAAAACAGAGAGATGCTTTATCACCACTCCTTTTCAACTTTGCTTTAGAATATGCCATTAAGAAGGTCCAGGGAAACCAGGCGGGACTGAAATGAAACGGGACACATAAGCTGTTGGCCTATGTCAATGATGCGAATCCACTGGGTGGTAATATAGTACCATAAAGAAAAACACACAAACTTTAATTGACGCAAGTAAAGAGTTTGGTCTAGAAGTAAACACAGAGAAAACTAAGTATATGTTGCTGTCTCATCACCAAAATGCAGGGCAAAATCATGACATAAAGATAGGAAACAGATGTTTTGAAAATGTGGCACAGTTCAGATATTTGGGAACAACGATAACAGATCGAAACCTGATTCAGGAGGAAATTAAGAGGAGATTGAACTTGGCTAATGCTTGCTACCATTCAGTCCAGAACCTTTTGTCTTCTCTTCTGCTGCCCAAAAGACATAAAAATTAGAATATACAAAACTATGATTTTGCCTATGGTTCTGTATGGGTGTGAAACTTGGTCTCTGCAGTAAGGAAGGAACATATGTGGATGTTCGTAGAATGAGGGTGTTTGAGAACAGGGTGTTAAGGATAATATTTGGACTGAAAAGAGATGAAGTGACAGGAGGTTGGAGAAAACTGCATAACGAGGAGCTTCATAACTTGTAATCTTCTCCAAGTATAATTAGAATGATCAAGTCAAGCAGAATGAGGTGGGCAGGTCATGTAGCACGAATGGGGAGACGAATGCATATAGGATATTGGTGGGAAATGCAGAAGGAAAGAGACCAGTGGGAAGACCAAGTTGTAGTTGGTTGGACAATATTAAAATGGCTCTTAGAGAGATAGGATGGAATGGTATGGATTGGATAGATCTGGCTCAGGATAGGGACCAGTGGAGGGCCCTTGTGAACATGGTAATGAACCTTCGGGTTCCGTAAAATGCTGGGATTGTCTTGAGTAGCAGCAGAATTGGTGGCTCCTCCAGAAGGGCTGAGCTTCATGAGTAAGTAAGTAAGTAAGTAAAGCTTTTTCTCACTGCAAAATGTTATAGCTCGTGGTGAATTAAGCGGCGGCCACGAGCTTCAGAAATGACTCAAGAGACTAGGAAGATGTCTGTCCTGTACCCGGATAATGTGGCATTGTTGATCAAATTGATTTGGTTGAGAAATTTTTCATATTTGCAGCAAGGAACCGGAACTGAAATCGAAGTCATAATAGCGATTTTATTCGCACTAGTTCATTGAATGTCTTCAGTAAAAAAGGGATACCATATCAAGAACGAAAGCATATGAAGCTTAAATAGGAATTACAAACACACTAACAACGATATATTGAGTAATTAACTCACAATCGATTAAGATAAATTCGATTGTGAGTTAATTACTCTGTATATCGTGTTAGTGTGTTTGTAATTCGTATTAAGCCATCCAGGTTACTGGGATCGAAGTTTAAAGTAATCTCGCTGTTCTAGGTAATAATTAGAATTCAAAAGCTTTTCTCCATAATAATCGTGATTTTTATTAGACTAGGTTTATGATCTTAATTTCTTTCTTTTTATTAAGTTGCTCTCTTGATTCTGCTAGTTGCAGTTATTTCCGGATGGCTTACCAGAGTGCACTTTTATCGATGCTTAGGGGAAACTGGATGTTGCTAATAGTTGCGCTTTCTGCCACCAGATTGCACTACATAGTAATTCCGGAAGGTGGGGTGATACATAACCTTTAGAGAGCGTTAATTTCACGGCTTATGTAGTTGACGGTAAGAGATTAGCTAATGCAATATTTGTAGAGTAAACGATGCGAATAAATTCATATGCTTATACAGAGAGAAGATCCGCAATACGTAATGAAATCAACGCTTGAAGCACGTGTATTTCTTCGTCTGAAATATTTTTATTCCTCTAATAAGTTAGATTTTATAGAATTACGTTCACGATAAGTTTTTACTGCCTTCATTATTAATAAAATAAATGTCCAAAAAAATACATTGAGTTATATATGTTTATCGTACATGGCCTTCATATTTAAATCGGTACGTAATGCACTTTCTCACTGCTAAATGTTGTATCTAGTGGTGAATGACGAGGCGGTCACGAGATGGCAGTACTCAAACTTTCTTCAGAAAAGACGCGAGGGTCCAGGAAAATGTCTGTCGTGTACCAGGATAATAAGATAGCGTAGGAGGTATTTTGGTGCTCCAAGTGATTTTGGTTCAGAAATTTTTCATACTTGCAGCAAGGAACCGGAACTGAATATGGAGTCATAATTGCAATTTTATTCGCACTCGTTCATTGAATGTCGTCAATAAAAATGGATACCATGTCAATAACGAAAGCATATGAAGCCTAAATAAGAATTACAAACGCACTAACTACGATTTACCCACTAAATAATTCACAATATGTTTTATCTTAAGTTATCCAGATTACTGAGATCGAAGTTTATAGTAATCTTGCTGTTCTGGGTAACGATTAGAATGCAAAAGCATTTCCCCATAATAATCTTGATATTTAGTACACTAGTTTCATGAGCTTAATGCTATTTCCTTCTATTAAGTTACTCTTTGATTCTATTAGTTGGTGTTATTTCAGGATTACCTACCAGAGTACACAACTATCGATGCTTTGCGAGAGTTGGAATAGTTACTAATAGTAGTCTAATAGTTGCTAATAGTTACGCTCTCTGCCACGACATGGCAGTACATTTTAATTGCGGAAGGTGGGTGATGCATTGAGTTTCAACTCGGCAATCCTCTATAAATTGACATGATATGCATCAGCCCAACCCACGGAATTTGTACGTAGTGCTGTCTGGTGGCAGGTGTTGTAACTATTAGCAACATACATCTCACCCCCAAACATCGATAGTAGTGCACTCTGGTATGTAATCGTGAAATAACAGCAACTAGCAAAACCAAAGAAAGATTAACTTAATAAAAAGAAAGAGAATTAAGCTCCTGAAACTAGTGTAATAAATATCACGATTATTGTGGGGGAATGCTTTTGAATTCTAATTTTTACATAAAACACGGAGGTTTCTTTAAACTTCGATCTCATTAATCCGGATGGCTTAAGTAATATAAAATCGATTGTTTGTTAATTACTGGGTATATCGTAGTTAGTGTGTTTGTAATTCCTATTTAGGCTTCATATGCATTAATTCTTGATAAGGTATCCTTTTTTATTGACGATACTGAATGAACGAGTATGAATAAAATGGCTATTATGACTTTGAGTACAGTTCCGGTTCCTTGCCGCAAGTATGAAAAGTTTCTGAACCAAAATCATTTGGAACACCACAATACCTCCTACGATATCCTATTATCCTGGTACACGAGAGACATTTTCCAGGTCCCTTGCGTTATTTCTGAAGCAAGGTTTGAATGCCATCTCGTGGCCGCCTCGTCATTCACCACCAGATACAACATTTAGCAGCGAGAAAATGCATTACGTAAACAAATTAAATATGAAAGAAATATACGATAGAGATATATATCTGAACGCAGTTCATTCCACATTAATTTCATTAATAAAAAAAGGAAGCCAAAACATATCGTGAACGTAATTAAATAAATGTAATTTGTTATAGGAAGAGAAACTTTTTTAGACGATGCAATACTTGTGCTACAAGCGATGATTTCATTACGTATTTTCGATCTACTGACTGTATAAAATTCTCAATATATTCGTTACGTTTACTCTCCAAGTATTGCATCAGCTGATATCGTCCGGTCGCCTACATTAGCTGTGAAATTCACAATTCTCTCTTAAGTTAAATCGCTATGCGATACCCCACACACCGGAATTGATATGTAATGCCATCTTGTGGCAGTGAGCGTAACTATTAGCAACAGTCTTCTCTCCCCCTTGCATCAGTAGTAGTGCACTCTGGTAGGTAATTCTGAAATAGCAGGAACTGTCAGAATCAAAAGAGTTACTTAGTAAAAGGAAATAGCATTGAGCTCATAAAGCTAGTGTAATAAATATCACGATTATTATGGGGAAATGTTTTTGAATTCTAATTTTGGCTAAACCAGCGAGAATACTTTAAACTTCGATCTCATTAATCCGGATGGCTTAAGTAATATAAAATCGATTGTTTGTTAATTACTGGGTATATCGTAGTTAGTGTGTTTGTAATTCCTATTTAGGCTTCATATGCATTCATTCTTGATAAGGTATCCTTTTTTTATTGACGACATTGAATGAACGAGTGCGAATAAAATCGCTATTATGACTTGGAATTCAGTTCCGGTTCCTTGCCGCAAGTATGAAAAATTTCTGAACCAAAATCAATTGGAACACCAAAATACCTCCTAGGATATCCTATTTTCCTGGTACACGAGAGACATTTTCCAGGTCCCTTGCGTTATTTCTGAAGCAAGGTTTGAATGCCATCTCGTGGCCGCCTCGTCATTCACCACCAGATACAACATTTAGCAGCGAGAAAATGCATTACGTAAACAAATTAAATATGAAAGAAATATACGATAGAGATATATATCTGAACGCAGTTCATTCCACATTAATTTCATTAATAAAAAAAGGAAGCCAAAACATATCGTGAACGTAATTAAAGAAATGTAATTTGTTACAGGAAGAGAAACTTTTTTAGACGATGCAATACTTGTGCTACAAGCGATGATTTCATTACGTATTTTCGATCTACTGACTGTATAAAATTCTCAATATATTCGTTACGTTTACTCTCCAAGTATTGCATCAGCTGATATCGTCCGGTCGCCTACATTAGCTGTGAAATTCACAATTCTCTCTTAAGTTAAATCGCTATGCGATACCCCACACACCGGAATTGATATGTAATGCCATCTTGTGGCAGTGAGCGTAACTATTAGCAACAGTCTTCTCTCCCCCTTGCATCAGTAGTAGTGCACTCTGGTAGGTAATTCTGAAATAGCAGGAACTGTCAGAATCAAAAGAGTTACTTAGTAAAAGGAAATAGCATTGAGCTCATAAAGCTAGTGTAATAAATATCACGATTATTATGGGGAAATGTTTTTGAATTCTAATTTTGGCTAAACCAGCGAGAATACTTTAAACTTCGATCTCATTAATCCGGATGGCTTAAGTAATATAAAATCGATTGTTTGTTAATTACTGGGTATATCGTAGTTAGTGTGTTTGTAATTCCTATTTAGGCTTCATATGCATTCATTCTTGATAAGGTATCCTTTTTTTATTGACGACATTGAATGAACGAGTGCGAATAAAATCGCTATTATGACTTGGAATTCAGTTCCGGTTCCTTGCCGCAAGTATGAAAAATTTCTGAACCAAAATCAATTGGAACACCAAAATACCTCCTAGGATATCCTATTTTCCTGGTACACGAGAGACATTTTCCAGGTCCCTTGCGTTATTTCTGAAGCAAGGTTTGAATGCCATCTCGTGGCCGCCTCGTCATTCACCACCAGATACAACATTTAGCAGCGAGAAAATGCATTACGTAAACAAATTAAATATGAAAGAAATATACGATAGAGATATATATCTGAACGCAGTTCATTCCACATTAATTTCATTAATAAAAAAAGGAAGCCAAAACTTATCGTGAACGTAATTAAAGAAATGTAATTTGTTACAGGAAGAGAAACTTTTTTAGACGATGCAATACTTGTGCTACAAGCGATAATTTCATTACGTATTTTCGATCTACTGACTGTATAAAATTCTCAATATATTCGTTACGTTTACTCTCCAAGTATTGCATCAGCTGATATCGTCCGGTCGCCTACATTAGCTGTGAAATTCACAATTCTCTCTTAAGTTAAATCGCTATGCGATACCCCACACACCGGAATTGATATGTAATGCCATCTTGTGGCAGTGAGCGTAACTATTAGCAACAGTCTTCTCTCCCCCCTGCATCAGTAGTAGTGCACTCTGGTAGGTAATTCTGAAATAGCAGGAACTGTCAGAATCAAAAGAGTTACTTAGTAAAAGGAAATAGCATTGAGCTCATAAAGCTAGTGTAATAAATATCACGATTATTATGGGGAAATGTTTTTGAATTCTAATTTTTGGCTAAACCAGCGAGAATACTTTAAACTTCGATCTCATTAATCCGGATGGCTTAAGTAATATAAAATCGATTGTTTGTTAATTACTGGGTATATCGTAGTTAGTGTGTTTGTAATTCCTATTTAGGCTTCATATGCATTCATTCTTGATAAGGTATCCTTTTTTTATTGACGACATTGAATGAACGAGTGCGAATAAAATCGCTATTATGACTTGGAATTCAGTTCCGGTTCCTTGCCGCAAGTATGAAAAATTTATGAACCAAAATCGATTGGCACACCAAAATACCTCCTAGGATATCCTATTATCCTGGTACACGAGAGTCATTTTCCAGGTCCCTCACGCTATTTCTGAAGCAAGGTTTGAATGCCATCTCGTGGCCGCCTCGTCATTCACCACTAGATACAACATATCACGATTGTTATGGAGAAATGCTTTTGAGGCCAGCACAAAGCAGGTAGGAAGCTTGGCTTTGCTGTCTGCCAGTACTGGTTTCTTGCTTGATTTATTCTTCACCCCTGAAGATGGAGGCGACACGTTTCTGCAAAATGTCTGTTGACTTTTGACAGACTACAGGGCATTATATCCCAGATGACAGAACTCTTCAAAACCACTGTTGTCAGATGGTCAAATCCTACACAGTGTAGTCAGTACTTTACAGTGCAGTAATTTTTTATACAGTGATTGGTGGGTAATCAGTTTGGATTTCAGTCTATCTCAAGGTAATTTTGAATTGGTAATTTTTGGGCTGCGCATTTGCATCTTGCTAATCTCGTACAAAATTTACATACAGGGCTCTGAGAGGGAAATGATTGAAGAGAGGAAACATCAGGAAGAAGGAGGCAAACATGGAGTTTGGAATGAAGTTGAGATTGGTGAGTCACTAGCAGATTCTTTATGTACAACATAGGCCTATTCAAGTTAATAGAAACTGACACTTTTGTATTAGTTTTGATTGTACATTTATATTTTAAGGATTTCAGAAATTCTGTACCATATTTAATTGTATACTGCAATTTTGTTAGGGGTTTTAATGCAAACACATTAATCATTACTGTTTAATATTAGTAGTGGTGGGATAGTTGGTTAAGGCACTATGCTACAAGTTGGAAGGCTGTGGGTTCAAGTCCCGATGTGGTCATTATTTTTTTTTTCAATTGACCTAATTCTTCCAGATGCACTATGGCTCTGGGTTCAGCTCAGCCTCTTAACAGAAATGAGTACAAGGAATTTTCGTGGGGGGTAAAGTGCGGCCGGTGCGTAAGACTGACAACCTCACCGCTATCAATGAGCCGATTAGAAAATGTGGGAGCCTTAATGTCTCACAACCTTATGGGCCTCCACATTCTGTTAACAGGGATAGCTTGGCGCATAAGGCTGACAACCTCACTTCCATCTGTGAGCCAATTGTCTAGAAAATATGGAACCCTGAAAGTATGTTACAGGGATAACTTTACTTATTTTTTCTGTATAGTGTCTTGGTATGTAATGAACATCACTCATGAAGAATGCCGTCTTCTGGGATGTGGCACTGTATAGATATTGTGTAAACCTACGTTTTGGAGGAATGTATCGCCTCCATCTTCAGGGTATAAAAATCCGCAAGCGAGGAACCAGCATGAGCACGTGGCTGCAGACTGAGTCTCCTAAGTTGTCCTGTAGCTGTCAAGTCTTCTCTGCAGCAGGCCTTAGGGAAGAGAGTTGTCATGGGGACAAGGATCGGCCACTTGCTTTGATTATGGAGTAGAGTAGGACATTTTGAAGGGTAAAGATTATCTGAGCTTTGAATACTTTGTCATTTCCACTCAAGTATGCTGTGTAACACAGCGGGCAGAGCAACCTGCCACTTTGTATATACATGCGCATAGAAGGGACCACATAGTAACGACCAACAACCACAATATGGAAGCACAGCAGTTTCTTCATTTATAATTATAATTTTAAAACACCTGATGACGACCTTATAGTTTGAAACATATAATCAGTAACTTTCAGAAAGTTTTATAGAAAGACGTGCTGCATGCGAGACTGTGAAACAATTTGATGCTATTTCTAAATGGTACTCCATAAGGAAGTAAATTGTAGTTATCATTACATGTCCATTATTCCATATATAAGATAGATATCCGTCCACACTTTTTGTGCGTTCATTTTCTGCTGGCTACAAACATACACAGTAGCTTCAGTCGCAGGACAGAGTGAATATGGCAACTGTGCGACAAGTCAGATGGAGCCTTCTCATAAAACACGCAGCATATTTGTTCACTTGTAATTAGGCTAGCAGACATAGACAGAGACCATGGGTTGGAAATCGGGGGAAATTGATGACTTCAAGTAGCAGACTAACTTAAAATTTGGCTAGCTGTTAGGATAATCAGTTTCAGGTGCTGCAAATACTTTGGCATGTTTACTGGCAAACAGACTGTGCCCCATCTGAGGTGTAAGGCTCAATGGGATTATTTTTCATTTTGACATATTTTTTATTTTGTTTCAAGTTGATGAAACAGATGAGCTCAACAGACACCCCACTTGGAACGCTTAGCGTGTTGCAGGAGCAACAGAAAGATACACAGTCTCCATTCATGGTCCTTAGTGACAGTAAACATACATGAGTATGCTTTTTGTCTGCCACTGATTTAATTCATTCAAAAGAACAGCCAGTTCTAACTAAGAAAAAGTATTTCTATTCATTATCTGACAGACTTAGGCATTAGAACACAGATTACTAGATGAAACCAGTCAACTCAATTCAAAATTTGTCTTAACTTGACATTACAAATAACAGTAATTCATAGCTTTAACTTAAAGGCTAAGTAGATGAGCCGCCATATAGTCATGTTGATAATGTCATTTAGTGATTATACTGCCGCAAAGTAAATATTTGTTTTTCTCTGAGCATGTCACTTGTCTTGTTATAATTTCTCAACTGTAGACTAAAGTGTCATTTTAATGATAGATTGACCAATAAGTCTTTTCTTCTTGGTATGCTGAAGTTTTACTAAAAATTTCTGTTTTTGATGCAGAATATGAAATTTAATTTTCAAAATAAAACCAGCTGTGAGGTTTTTGTGAAATCTGCTAGTTTAACATGAGCATTACTACATTCTCTTTGTTTCTTTATTTTTCAGGGCAACCATCTCGAGAACAAAACTGCAAATTCTTCGTGAAATACACTGGCACCAACTCTGAACTTTTGCCTGGACTTATATTTTTATTGTTTGTTACTGTCTGCAACATCATCTCTATTTTAAGTAAGACACAGCTTGCAGCTGCTGATAGTGCCTGTATGTACTGGAAGGAAGGCCACAGAGTTCATGCCACATTCAAATGAGTACAGAGGTTCTCCTGTGCCAGCTGTTGGCACTTGTAAGCTGAAAAGTACTNCTACCATCTTCAGAAGGATATTATCAACACACATGGAAGCTATTGTTACCATGTCATATATATAAATTTTGTGTCTCTCAACTAATATTAAGATGTATACTGATTTGTTAAAACATCTAAAATTTATTACAATTAGGCTGTTTACAAAATAATGTTCAATATTTGTTTTAATCTAGAACCAAATTGGTTGTTGATGTTACATTTCTGTAACAATTTTAGATGTTTTAACAAAACAGTGTACATCTTAGTATTAGTTAAAAAATCATAACATTTATATCTATGACATGGTAACAGTAGTTTCCATATGTNTGTGTTGATAATATCCTTCTGAGACATGTAAAGGATGAAAAATTAAAAACAACTTTTATCAAAACAGTGGACGGTGGTTAAAAATCTTATAAAAAAGCTATCCCTGTAAGAGGCTGTGAAGGCCCATAGGGTTGTGTGACATTGATGGTCCCACATTATCCAGACAATCGGCTCAAAGATGGCGGTAAGGTTGTCAGCCTTACACGCCAGCCACGTTTTACTCCCCAGGAAAATTATTTAATTCCTGGTACTCATTCCTGTTAGAGGCTGAGGATTAGGTTAATTGAAAGAAATCCAATGACCTCATCGGAACTTGGACTCGTGACCTTCCGGCTTGTAGTATAGCCCCTCAACCAACTATGCTACTGCGTGCCCCAATAAAAATCTTATATGTGGTTAGAAAAGTCCTTTGTTTAATCCACATGCAGATGAACAAGAGTCTTCTGTAGGTATATGAAAAACTGAAAGATACATAGCCTCGGCCAAAAATATCAGGTGATGAAAGTGCATAAAACTGATCTTGAGGCATCTTCTTGGAGGTGGTGATGATGATTTGAACCCAAAATGAATATATAAGTCAATGGTGGACATTATCTGAAGTCTGAATTGTAATCCTGATGTGTTACTAATCTTCACATAAGAAGGTACACAGACGGACTACAGGTGTTCCCAAACTTACATTTTCTTGTGCTATAGCTTAAGCAGTTAGTCGCTGGCTTCCCACTGCGGTGGCGGTCAAGTGGGATTTGTGGTGGACGAAGTGGTGGTGGGGTGGGTTTTCTCTAGTACTTCAGTTTCCCCTGCCAAACTTCAGTATACCAAATTCTCCATCATCATAATCACCCGGGGCAGGCTACAATAGTCCAATCAGTAGCCGCCGTGCCAAGTGGACCCAGTTGGACTCCACCCCCCACTAAGCAAATTTAATTTAAATTTTACATACACACATGTAATAATAGGAGTATTATCAAATATTATTAACAATTTTAGGTTCAATGTGCTTGACAGAAACTGTTCCAATTGCAAATATGTCGAAATCTTTACCTGCTGTGTTGGCAGCATAGGCGCATCGAGCAGGGCAGTGTTTATTAGAGGGACAAACACCAAACAATGAGAAGTTCGTAAGATTGCTGGAATGAACATGAAAGCTAACATTTTCCAAAAGAGAAGCGCAGGATTTAAGACAAAAGGCCTGAACAAAGAAAAAGTGCATCAAGGTGATGTCTCCATTTATGTAAAAAATGTATACTAATTTCTCTAAAGCATCAATATAAGTATATGGAATATGAGGGAAAAAATGATAAAAACAGACGGACATAAACTTCTGCTGGATGTGCTCAAGCTTATTGGCATCAGTCGAGGTGATGGCGTTCCAAACTACTGAGGCATATTCCAACTTGGACCTGACTAAAGTAAAGTATAGTACATACAGACACTCCAGGGGGGAAAATCTATAGGTAATGGAGCAAATAAGGCCTAAAAGCTTTATGCATTCAGAAAATATGTAATTAACATGTGTGTGAAAATGTAGCTTTGAATCAAAGAAAACACCCAGCTCATTAATACTGCTGGTGCATGTAATGATAGCATGACAAAGCTGATATTCGTAGCTCAGAAAATTTAGTACTTTCTGTGACAGAACTGTGTCTATATTCCCATTGTTGTATAGTGCAGTTCTTGCAGGCAGCACACATTTTGACCGAGTGTGATATGGGAGTTCCCTAATGAAACCTGTCTAAAGCATTATATCAGCTTCCACTTCGGTTGGTCTAAATCACTTTCATGTGTGTCTTACAGAAGTGTTAGAAGTTACAAACATTTGGTAAAGATTTGTGTATATGTAAAATGGACTCTGTATGCTTGCACCTTACCTCTCTTTTGCTAGTTTTTATCAAATAAAGTATAGCCAATGATATCTCTTTCCCAAAAACTCATCCTGTAAACTGTGGCTCTCATATCTGCATACAGTATCAGCATGTGACAATTTGGATTAATTGACAGTGGGCTTTTGTAACCACCTGGTAATTTGAAAAACTGTTGTCTTCTTAGATGTGAGGCCATGTAGACTTGTAGAATGTTACCACCACTTTGGAGGAACATGTAAATGGATAAGACCCTGAAGATGGAGGCCTCACATTCCTCAGAGATGTTTGTAACATTCTACCAGACTACATGGTGTCACATCGCAGAAGACTGAAATCTTTGTGGTTATAGCCATATTCCTATGGAAGATCTAAGCCAAAGACTTGTTCACTTAGAGAGTGTACATTGTAATTACACATACAGGGAATACACAGTCATGAGTAGATAACAGTTGGTTTTGATTTGACATGGGAGTTAGGTGTAGGAATTGAGAACTGAGAGTTGCATGTTCTGCATTTTTCAATACTTCTGAATTGCATGGCGACAGTGAGGAGGCTACGCCTGGTACTTGGAATGAAGAGTACAGCTTTCTGAGTTGTAGCAATGTGTAGTTTGGAGAGAGCCCCACGTTTTGGAGCTACATATTCTTCCTATACATTGGGCCATCTCCAAACTACACGTTGCCACAACACGGGACCCTAAACTCCTTATAGACATTACCATAAAAACATCAAAATCAAACATGGTACTTAGAATGTCTGTGTAAGATAAGTAAGTTGCTGTCTGATTGCAGAGGTAATTGTGAATATAAATTGGATAGGAACTGCTGCAGCTTTGGGGGTTGGTGGGGAGATGTTAAGGCATTTTTGTAATTGGTACAGTTAGAAATTTCTTGGCAGCTAATTCCTCAATAATCTGACAAGCCATAGTGGACAGTTAGGCATCGTATTGATGTAGTATTCTGTAATACAAGTTTATGGAAGTATGACTGCCATAACTTGGCTATGGTAAAGACAGA